GGAGGAGGTCGCGGGCACCGTCCACGCGCGGCCGGCGCCGGCCGGGGAAAGGCAAGGGACTCGGCGATGGCAGCGTGGGGGCCGGGCGGGAGGTGCGAAGCGACCGGGGCTCCTCGCCGGCCCACTGACCTCAGAGATCTGCTGCCCCGGACAAAGCGGAGGGGTGCCGGGGGGCCCGGAAGGGCTAAGGCAGACCGAGGCCGCCACGGAGGACAGTGACAGAACCAGAACGATCCCCTGAGGGTCCCATCTTAGTTCCGAGTGGGTGGGGGGACAGAGCTGGAGCCTGATGGAAAATATTGGGGGAGGGGAACACATTAGGGTCTCCTCTGTTTTCTCAAGTCCCCAGAAGCCCTTTCCTGGGGTCAGGGTACCCGTTGCTACTGGAACAAACGTCTGTCACTTGGCTGAAAATGGGCCCGTTCCTCTCTCCAGGGCCCCCCAGCAGCCCGCTGTGTCTGGAGGGTCTCCACACAGGGACCAGCTGCATCCCCGGGCGTGCAGCCAGAATTTGCCCACACCATTCTCAAGTCTCTTTCTCTCCAGCTGCTTCTTGTGAAGGCTTGTCAGACAGCGGGTTGGAGGCCTTGGGGCTGGAGGCAGCGGGACCGGGAAAACCGGTTTGGGGCTACCACAGGACCCGGGAACTACCTGAGTACATCCTTCCTCCCCACCCCCCGTCCTGCCGGCCCCTTCTACGGTTCGGCCCTCCGTGACCATGACATGACGGTGGTTTGGAGATTTGTCACTCCAGGTTCTGGATTTCTTGTGGAACTGAGAGGGGCCCCACTGTCAGGATGTGGCTTTGTGCCGTCTAATCCTCGATCCCTTCCCTTCCTTTTTTTCTGTGGGGATGAAGTGGTGGGCAGTGGATGCAGCATCGCTCCCTCCTCAGCTCACCAGCCGAGGCCTCATTTGTCCCCATCCCAGTCGCTGGCTGCTTTAAAACAGAGTGACAGCCAATGCCCAGGACTTCCTTTTCTGGCTTTGTTCCTCTTCCCCCACCCCACACTACCGCACTGACCCTGGCCTGTCTTCACACTCTGACTCCGCCTCCAAGTTTCAGGGACCCTAATGTCCTAGGGAATGGAGTTTCCTGGTCACTTCTCATCATCATCGCTCGTTTCGTGCCAAGTCCCACACACACACTTTCCCTCCACCCAGCGTGGTCAGGTCCCTGGAAGAGAAACAGAAACGTCCTTGTTCCCTCCAGGGCCCCCTTTCCTCTCCCTCCTCCTCTTCCCTGCTCCCAGCATTGGCCACCTCTGTCCACTCAGCTTTGAGCAGGGTGGAGAATCCTGGGTAGAGTCCAGCCTCAGTATGGACTGTCTGGTCGTGTTGGGGGTTTCCTCTGATTCTTTATTGTTTTCTCCGTTTCCCCAACCCTTACCACCGGCCACCATCACGACAAGCCTTGTGATCGACTTTCCCACCGACCAGGCCTCCTCTCTCTGGACAGCTGTGTTCTGACCAGTCCTGATTACTCCTCCTCCCTTCCAGGGGTGGGAAGGGAAGTGAAAGAGAGCCCAGACTCTTGGGTTCTTTCCTACCCTAGAAGCTATGTTCCACTGAGTGATCTCATCCCAAGGCTGCTAGAAAACAACACAGAAAAAACACTAAGAAAAAAAAAAACCAAACAAACAAAACTCCGTTTTTTTTGGTCAGTCTAGGCTGATGGAGCACCCAGCTTCCAGCCTCAAGCCTAGAGGAAAGGCCGATTCCCATTCATGCTACCGTTTAATATTCATGAACTCCCCTGTTGGACTCCTGGGCTGTGCTATAGGACAGGGAAGTGCCGTCCGTGTAGAGGAAGCTCAGATGGGCCATCACCCCAGGCTGGCGGCAGGGAAAAGGGGAGAAAGTTCTGCCTTGGACACAAGGGCTACTGGAAAGTTCCTGTGTCTGGCTCCCTGGGTGCTTGGAAGTGGTGGGAAGGAGGAAGAGAACTGGCCAGAGCAGGAGGGGAGGGGGCGGGGAGGCCTGAGCCTTATAGGGCGTGAGACACCAAACTACGCACCGGGACACGTGGGAAAGGGTGGGGAGGGAGGCTGAGAAGTGATTCCTGAGGACAGAAAGCTCCTCCACACGTTACCTGTAAAGGACATGCACACTCAGCCTCCACAAGGTCAGATATTAACTCTAAATGGACTCTGGGAGGCCGTGGGACCGCAGCTGGGGGAAGTGAGGAGGCGCCCAGGCGCTGGAGTGAGCAGGAAGAAATTCCACGCTCCAGAAGTATTTGTTGAAGCCCTCACGCCGCAGTCAGCCTCCTGGGAACTAGGTGGTCCTAAGGCAATTTAGGTGTTGGGACAAGGTAAGAGAAAAGGGAGGACAGGGCGGAGGCCTTGTTTGTGAGAACAAAAACCACGATTTCCTCTTCAGAGTCACTGCTCGCCCCTCCCCTCCCGCCCCAGCCCAGGGAGAAGGGAGCTGAAGTTGGTAGCACCCCTAACTGTCTATCCATTTCTGTCGCTGTTTGGTTTGCTCTGTCTCATCCAGAGTCCTTAGCCCCTTCCTCCCTGGTCCCAGGAGTCACTGCGCCTTTCCCTGGTGATGGTCTTTTTGCACTATTCATTGTAAGCAGCAGCCGTGAACCCTGTGTTTGGAGGGGGTCAGTACTGGGGTACAGTAGTAGAGCCTCTGAGAGAGAAAGATGGAGGTTTATCAGAAGGTCTGGGGGATGGGGATGGCGGGGGATGTTTCTCACTAACCTTTTTTCTTTTTTCTTTCTGCTAAAATTCAGGATCCCACATCTCAAGAAGACAGCGCCTGCCTGCCCAAGCCTCTTGCTAATGCTTTCAGTGGCTCCGGGTTCTGACCTTCACCACCCGGCTGAGGGTCTCTAGGATTCCCGAGCCATCCAGCTGTGGGAGCCCAGGGTGTTGTTACTCCCGAGAGTGAGGACTGGCTGGTTAGCAACAGAGCAGGAGCCCCGTGGGGCCGCTGGCAGAGGCCCGAAGCTGGAACCGTCAGGGAACATGAGTGAATTCTGGCACAAACTGGGCTGCTGCGTGGTCGAGAAGCCTCAGCCGGTAAGTGTCCTGTCCCCACCCCGGCCCACGCATTTACCATGTGCTGTGACGTGGACACGCCATCTCTGGTCTGCCTTCTGAAAACCACACTTCTCACCTGCCTCCTGAGAGCCTCTGCGGCAGGCCAAGTGTGCGCATGTGCAATAAAGGGGCCTGTGTGACAGAAGAGTTGAATAGTTATGGCTGTCACCTGCTCCTGTTCTGAGGTGGGCAGGGGTTGCAGGTAGAACTGAAGACCTGTCAGCGTCCCCCCTGGTCACCCAGAGGTGTCTTTGCTCTTCCCTTCCTTTGTGTGTTCACTCGGCAGACCGGTCCTTACCACTCTGGTGACAGTGTCTCTGGTTTGTTATTTATTCCAACTTTGTCTTGCCTACCCTGATCCTTGACCGTTCTCCTGCCAAATCAACCCTTCACTCTTAGTGGTTTTGCGAGGCTCCTTCCCCTTCCTCCACGGGAGGAGATGGCTGCATATGTATGTGACTCCCTGTCTTCTCCAAACAGAAGAAGAGGAGAAGACGGATTGACTGCACCATGATCGGGGAACCCATGAATTTTGTCCACTTGACTCACATCGGCTCGGGAGAGATGGGGGCTGGAGATGGACTTGCCATGGTAATCAGGGGAGGGGGAGGGGCTTATTTGGGGGTGTAGTCAAGCGAGGGACGGAATGGAATACTTCCTGGGGAAACAAGAGTCTTAGATGGTAGACCTGGTCCCCAGTGGTGTGCATTTCTGATCTCTAGGGCCTGTGTAACTTCTTGACAGTTACCACACTGGTCTTCATTGAGTGAGGGGACTATATGCTGTAGTTGAAGATTTTCTCAAACCACAGCTCTCCTGACCAGGAATTAATCAGAGCTAGGACGTACCTCGGTGGGTAGAGCGCTTGCCTCGGATGCAGGAAGCCCTGGGTTTGATCCCCAGCCTTCAGAAACTGGGTGTGGTGGCTCAGACCTGTAACCTCAGCACTCAGGAACGAGGGGTCAGAGGCTCAAGGTCATCCTGCACAGGGAGTCTGAGGCCAGCCTGGCCTAGAGACCCTATCCCAAAATAGAAAAAGAAAACCTGTTAAATCAGTGTCAGAGTGAGTCATAGTGTGACTGGGAATCCTGGGCCATGAAAGGCCCTGTTCTAAATCATGTCTCTGATGCATCTCTGCTCTTGGTAAGGGAAGATGGGTGTGGACATAGTTTTTAATACTGGTTATAAAACTCACAGGGAAATATTGGAGTGGTTTTGTTGGGGGGGGATCTCATTAATAAATGACTCATTTTTACCTTGTCTTCATGAGACTTCTCTGAGAAGGGTGGTGGTCAGGTTTAAACTCTTCAGAGAAGTGTCATTGCCAGAAAAGAGATGAGGTCAAGCTCCTCCTGGGGGCACAGGGTAGATTGTTGGAATGTGGAGAGTTAGGTGTCTGTGTGGCATGTGCTTTTCAACAGACAGGGGCCGTTCAGGAGCAGATGAGATCCAAGGGGAACCGAGACAGACCATGGAGCAATTCTAGGGCCTTGTAGCTCCCATGGGACTGGTAAGTGTGTGCCTGTGCCAGCATAGCCTGATGCCCTGCCTCAGCCCCTTAATCCTCTGATGCAAGAGTGAGAAGTGAATGGATGGGAAGAAGTAACATGAAAATCCAAGAACACGGGATCAAAAAATGTAGGATCTTTACAAGGAAGGCGGGGG